CTGGAGTGCACGTTGCCACGCCGCTACCTGCAAGTAGTCACATTCCTCCACGTAGAAGTGCAGCCTGTCCTCCAGCTCTTCCTGGTACTTGGGTTCCTTTAGGACACTTTCCCCTTGGCCAAAAGCTTCCAGCCGACCTGCTTCCCTGCCACAAGTAAACACAATCCAAGACTTACATCTCTTCCCTCAGCTCCTCAACCTCTTGTCCTGGGGGAGGGCAGGGAAGATGGCCTCAAGAGCCTCATCCTGCATTGGTGGGGACCCACGTTTCTTGCCTCACAGCCTCTGGGGTCCCCATACCCATCATGGTTGTACTTCTGAATCATACAGATGCTCCGGGGATGGAGATGGACTCTGAGGAAGTCTGACCAGACCCTGATGCTGGCCTCTGTAGGGATAAGTGGTTTTGGAGTTGTAGCAGTGGTGAGTGGTGGGGAACCTGAAGACAAGCAGAGGAAATGTACCTTTTTCCATGTTTCTGCTCCCCAGACCCGCATCCATCAGTATCTGGAGAAGTCTCACCTTTGCCATTGGGAATGGATTTGACCCTCCAAACACCATCACTACTCAGCACTCCCTGGGAGGGGTGAAGAAAAATCTACATTTAGTTCCGGGCAGTTTAGAGGTAAAGGTTGGTTCATCCTTCTTGAGTTGGCTGGCCACACCGCACACCCTCCTTTCTGTTCACCGAGTCGTGGTCCTTAGGAAAAGAAGTGCTTTTTCCCAAAATATCATTCTAGGACATTTAAAATGATTAAAATTCCCTTTTACCTGCCCCTATGGAGGCCCTCGGGTTGTAGCACTGGGTAAAAAAGTTCAGGGCAGAGGCCCTCACCTCTGTACTCAAAGTCCTGGAGATAAGGGTTCTTGGGACAGAGTTCCTCTTTGTGTGTGGTGAGCTTCCCCTGCCTGAAAGAGATTGGAGATTGATCAAAGAAACCTCACTCTGATGAGTTCTCCTGCGTTCTATGTACATACATGTTCCCCACCCTTATCCACACATCAACTACACACCATGCTATTGCAGCATCCAACTGTTTGTCCCTGTAGAGTCCACCTTCCTCTTTTAGGGAGCTCAAACTACCTATACAGAAATAACAGAGACAAAGTTAGGTCAAAGCCTGGGGCACCCTCCCCGTCTAGCTAACCTTCCTCTGATCACTTGACAACCTGCTGTCACCATCTCTCCAGCACTTGGCTCTTCCAAGCTTTCTGGGATATACACTAGTTCGGGCAGGGGAACCTTGGCCTAGGAGAATCCAGATTCCATCTTTCCGTTCTCAGCTTAGTCATTAGCTGTGGAACGGGGGCAACAACCACATCCAAGGGTCCGACAGGAGTGCTGTAGTTCAAGTCCTCTGTCTCTAGGGCCTAGCAGCCTATTCCCGAGATGGCTCCTGAGCAAAATAAAGTTTTGCCGTCCTGCGCCTCTGGGGTGTTGGCATGCTGTGCTCAGCTCATCTCCGGTCCTGGAGCTCGGTAAGGTGCAAGGGTCTTGAAGATAACGGCAGCGCAAGGACTCGGCTCGCCGAAGGGAAACACGGGCTGACGCTGCCACCACCTCACCCTTCAGATCCATAAGGATGAGTCGCGGCGTGCAGGTATTCTGGCCGTGCAGCGTCCGGCCCGTACGATACAGGACATCGGGGCACAGCTCTCCCGGCGACTCCTTGGCATCGGTTGCTCGGCCCAGCGCAGCATCCTGGGGAAGCAGAGAGGACGAGGCAGGCCGGCTGAACGTCGGGACTGTAGATCCCGAAGGGCTCCTCGGAGGCAGCTGCCGGCCGACCTCACCTGCTGGTTCCACCAGTGCGCGCCCACGAAACCGGCAAAGTGTCCCAACTGCAGTGTGAGCACTTCCCGGGCCCCGCCCGCCATACTGCGCGGCTCCAAGGGACCGCAGCGACCCAGCCCCGCCGCTCGCTGCTCCTAGCCGATTGGCTTAGCGGGCGCGTGGGCGGGTGTCATTCTCGGCGACCTATTGGTCCGCAAACACATCCTTTTCTATTGGAGAAACGATTCGCCGATTCCTGCCTCTTCCGAGACGTGGCCCAGTCCGGCTTTCTGTGTGGTTGCCTGCGAGGGACGGGGTCCACGGGCCACGCCGTTGCTCCTGCTCCACGTTGGAGCGGGCTGGGCGCTGCCTCAGCCGCTGAAGGGGCCGCCAGGTCGCGGGCCGCGGAACGCTCTTCCTCGTACTTCCCCTGAGGTCTTATCCCTTCTCACAGATCTCCGCTGGCTGATAGCTCCCCGGGCAAAAATCAAACCTCGCCAGAAAAGCGGAAGCTCCCCTAAAGCCTCCCATGCCCTCTGTCTTCAGAAGTCACGCGGATCAGGACTAATACCCTGTGGACTGGCCTAGCTATCATATCTCTATCATTTACATGTATTTATCTGTCTCTGGTATCTAATACCTTATGTAAATAGAGTCTGTATCTGTTGGTGTCTTTTGTTCAATATGGTTTATGTAATTCATATTTTTGCATATATCTAATTCATTTTCATCGCTGTGGAATAGTCCATTGTATGAATACATCACCATGAAACTATTCTAAAGAAAGAATATATTCTGCTGATAATAGCTGTTGGGATTGTTTCCAATTTTGGGCTATTAGGTGCTGTGATTAACATTCTTGTGTGTATTTAGAAAGAAGGCAAGGGCCGGGCACAGTGACACAGGCCTGTAATCCCAACAGTTTGGGAGGCCGAGACGGGAGGATCAACAGAGGTCAGGAGGTTGAGACCAGCGTGGCCAACATGATGAAACCCCGGTGTCTACTAAAAACACAAAAAATTTAGCCGGGCGTGGTGGCGGGCGCTTGTACTCTCAGCTACTCAGGAGGCTGAGTCAGGGAATCCTTTGAACCTGGGAGGCGGAAGTTGCAGTGAGCCGAGATCGCGCCACTGCAATCTACCCTGGGCGACAAGAGCAAACCTCCGTCTGAAAAGAAAAAAAAAAAAGGCTAGGCACAGTGGCTCACGCCTGTAATCCCAGCACTTTGGGAGGCCGAGGCGGTCGGATCACGAGGTCAGGAGATGGAGATCATCCTGGCTAACACGGTGAAACCCCATTTCTACTAAAAATACAAACAATTAGCCGGGCTTGCTGGCGGGCGCCTGTAGTCCCAGCTACTCGGGAAGCTGAGGCAGGAGAATGGCATGAGCTGGGAGGCGGAGCTTGCAGTGAGCCGAGATCTCGCCACTGCACTCCCGCCTGGGCAACAGAGCCAGACTACATCTCAAAAAAAAAAAAAAAAAAAAAAGATAAGGCAAATATTGGTTGGGCACCGAGGCTCACGCCTGTATTCCCACATTTTGGTGAGGCTGAGGCAGGAGGATCGCTTGAGTCAGAAATTCGAGAATTTGAGGCTAGACTGGACAAAGTAATGAGACTCCCCTTCCCCCCAGCCTCTCTATAAAAGAATTTTTCAAAAAATTAGCTGGGCAGCCCACATATGTAGTTCTAACCAGAGACTAGGGTGGGAGGATCGCTTCAGCCCAGGAATTAGAGGCTGTGGTGAACCCTGATTGGACCACTGCACTCCAGCCAGAGACAGAGGGAGACCCTGTCTCGAAATTTTAAAAAGTGACAAAATGTTAATTGAATCTAGGTGAAAGTTATAGGCGTTCTTTTGCAGTACTCTCTCAGCATTCTTTTGGATTTGAAATTTTTTTTAAAAAAAAGGTTAGATCCTCTTATCTATTCTGAGTTCTTTGTATTTTCTCATGTATTATATTTAGTTTTATTTATATATTTTGAGATGTTCTCACTCTCTTGCCCTGGCTGAAGTGCAGTGGTGCAATCTCCCGGCTTACTGCAGCTTCAACCTCTTGGGCTGAAGGAATCCTCCCACCTTAGCCTCCCAAGTAGCTGCAATTACAGGCATAGGCCACCGCATCCGGCTAATTTTTGTATTTTTTGTACAGAGGGGGTTTCACCATCTTGTCCAGGCTGATCTCCTGAGCTCAAGTGATCTGCCCACCTCGGCCTCCCAAAATGTTGGGATTACAGGTGTGAGCCAACGTGCCGGGCTACTATTTCGCTTTTCTAAGTATGATGTGGGCTGAAAAGTTCTATAGTCTGACAGTTTAAGGAAGTTTTCTGTCCTGATTTGCTAAGAGTTTTGATCATGAATAGATTTGAATGTTTTTTACAGCTTTCTCCAAACCGAGATAATTACATTATTTTATCCTTCCTTTGTTGTGCTAATGAATAAATTACATCGTTAGATTTTCATGTAATACTATTTGCATTCCTAAAATAGACCTAAACTTGGCCGGACGCAGTGACTCATGCTTGTAATACTAGCACTTTGGGAGGCCGAGGCAGGCGGATCACGAGGTCAGGAGTTAGAGACTAGCCTGGCCAACATAGTGAAACCCCATCTCTACTAAAATACAAAAATTATCTGGGCGTGGTGGCACGTGCCTGTAATCCCAGCTACTTGGGAGGCTGAGGCAGGAGAATCACTTGAACCAGGGAGTCAGAGGTTGCAGTGAGCCGAGATCGTGCCACAGCACTCCAGCCTGGTGACAGAGCAAGACTCTGTCTCAAACAAACAAACAAAAAAACCAAAACTCATTTGTGTTGATTATCTTTTTAAAATATTGGATCTGGCTGGGTGTGGTGGCTCATGCCTGTAATCCCAGCACTTTGGGAGGCCAAGGCAGGCGGATCACAAGGTCAGAAGTTTGAGACCAGCCTGGCAAACATGGTGAAACCCCATCTCTACTAAGAACACAAAATTGCTGGGCGCGGTGGCTCAAGCCTGTAATCCCAGCACTTTGGGAGGCCGAGACGGGTGGATCACGAGGTCAGGAGATCGAGACCATCCTGGCGAACACGGTGAAAACCCGTCTCTACTAAAAAATACAAAAAACTAGCCGGGCGAGATGGCGGGCGCCTGTAATCCCAGTTACTTGGGAGGCTGAGGCAGGAGAATCGGCGTAAACCCCGGAGGCGGAGCTTGCAGTGAGCTGAGATCCGGCCACTGCACTCCAGCCCGGGCGACAGAGTGAGACTCCGTCTCAAAAAAAAAAAAAAAAAGAACACAAAATTAGCAGAACGAGGTGGCACATGCCTGTAATCCCAACTACTCTGGAGTCTGAGGCAGGAGAATCACTTGAACCCAAGAGGCAAAGGTTGCAGTGAGCCAAGATAGGGCCACTGCACTCCAGACTGTGCAACAGATCGAGACTCTGTCTCAAAAAATAAGTAAATATAAAATATTGGATCTGGGCTGGCTGCAGTGGCTCATGCCTGTAATCCCAGCACTTTGGAAGGCTGAGGCAGGTGGATCACTTGAGCCCAGGAGCTCAAAACAAGCCTGGGTAACACAGTGAGATCTTGTTGCCAGAAAAAGAAAAAAAAAAAAAAGGCCGGGTGCAATGGCTCATGCCTGTAATCCCAGCACTTTGGAAGGCTGAGGCAGGTGGATCACTTGAGCCCAGGAGCTCAAAACAAGCCTGGGTAACACAGTGAGATCTTGTTGCCAGAAAAAGAAAAAAAAAAAAAAGGCCGGGTGCAATGGCTCATGCCTGTAATCCCAGCACTTTGGAAGGCTGAGGCAGGTGGATCACTTGAGCCCAGGAGCTCAAAACAAGCCTGGGTAACACAGTGAGATCTTGTTGCCAGAAAAAGAAAAAAAAAAAAAAGGCCGGGTGCAATGGCTCATGCCTGTAATCCCAGCACTTTGGAAGGCTGAGGCAGGTGGATCACTTGAGCCCAGGAGCTCAAAACAAGCCTGGGTAACACAGTGAGATCTTGTTGCCAGAAAAAGAAAAAAAAAAAAAAGGCCGGGTGCAATGGCTCATGCCTGTAATCCCAGCACTTTGGAAGGCTGAGGCAGGTGGATCACTTGAGCCCAGGAGCTCAAAACAAGCCTGGGTAACACAGTGAGATCTTGTTGCCAGAAAAAGAAAAAAAAAAAAAAGGCCGGGTGCAATGGCTCATGCCTGTAATCCCAGCACTTTGGAAGGCTGAGGCAGGTGGATCACTTGAGCCCAGGAGCTCAAAACAAGCCTGGGTAACACAGTGAGATCTTGTTGCCAGAAAAAGAAAAAAAAAAAAAAGGCCGGGTGCAATGGCTCATGCCTGTAATCCCAGCACTTTGGAAGGCTGAGGCAGGTGGATCACTTGAGCCCAGGAGCTCAAAACAAGCCTGGGTAACACAGTGAGATCTTGTTGCCAGAAAAAGAAAAAAAAAAAAAAGGCCGGGTGCAATGGCTCATGCCTGTAATCCCAGCACTTTGGAAGGCTGAGGCAGGTGGATCACTTGAGCCCAGGAGCTCAAAACAAGCCTGGGTAACACAGTGAGATCTTGTTGCCAGAAAAAGAAAAAAAAAAAAAAGGCCGGGTGCAATGGCTCATGCCTGTAATCCCAGCACTTTGGAAGGCTGAGGCAGGTGGATCACTTGAGCCCAGGAGCTCAAAACAAGCCTGGGTAACACAGTGAGATCTTGTTGCCAGAAAAAGAAAAAAAAAAAAAAGGCCGGGTGCAATGGCTCATGCCTGTAATCCCAGCACTTTGGAAGGCTGAGGCAGGTGGATCACTTGAGCCCAGGAGCTCAAAACAAGCCTGGGTAACACAGTGAGATCTTGTTGCCAGAAAAAGAAAAAAAAAAAAAAGGCCGGGTGCAATGGCTCATGCCTGTAATCCCAGCACTTTGGAAGGCTGAGGCAGGTGGATCACTTGAGCCCAGGAGCTCAAAACAAGCCTGGGTAACACAGTGAGATCTTGTTGCCAGAAAAAGAAAAAAAAAAAAAAGGCCGGGTGCAATGGCTCATGCCTGTAATCCCAGCTTTGGGAGGCTGAGGCAGGCAGATCACCTGAGGTCAGGAATTTGAGAACAGCCTGGGCAACATGGTGAAACCCCAT